ATATAGAATAGATAACCTAACTTCCTGCATAGTTGTCTTGTTTCATTGAATTTTACGTAAATAGAATAAATCTTCTCTAAACTCTAACATATTTGTTTTCTTAATGTCTTTGATAAATTATTAAGTAGGTATTTTATTGGTAAACCGTCGTTGTAGACTATCAGCTATTTCCTTAAGGTTATGTGACGTTAATTCCGATGTACAATTCTGTATTTGGGGCTCGGTGAATAAAACTCAATGGAAAATAAATCATGCCATCGAGAACAATTCATTTTCCATGTGGCAGAGTTCCATCATCCATTAATAGCACATTATTTACCCTGTAATTAAACGAATATCTTTTCGAAGTTCTGCCGGTTCATTATTTTGTTGCATATTGTACCTATTATAGTTATTGTATATCTGTTTAGAAAATTTTTGGTAACGCATTGTTGATATCTGCTATTACTGCAAACACTTATTGGAAATGCAATATTGAACATTCAGTTAATTTTGGATTTTTAATCAGTATTAAACAAGTAGACATTGACCTTAATCGATTCATTTCCGCAAAACTAATAGTAGGTTTTTAAACTTTTCCGTTTCCATTATTACCGTCTTCCAAATGATTTCATTATGTAGTATTCAAAGTCTAATTTATTGTGATGTTATGTGGGCTGTATATATACAGATAGATAGTGTTTCAAATGATGGCAATACTATTTGGCATTGTTTATAATCATATCAAATAACTTCTGCAAATATAATTTATATAATTTGCATTCCCACCCACTGTATTTGATGTTCATTTGATACCAGAGTTATTTATTTTGTTATACTTATTTGCTTGCTGGCATATTATGGGATGTACGTAATTGAATTCATAACGCTTGGAATTTGACGATATTTACCTATAGATAATTGATTTGTACAATTTTCAATTGTGTAAACAAAGCCTATTTCACACACAAATATACATATTGACAAATTATTGAGAAGCGCTTATCTTGTCTTTTGAGAAAGGGAGATAGATCAATAAATATTTTTTTTTTAATTATACCAAGTGTCTCATGAGAGGTGCACAGAATAACACAGATAACAGACCTCAGGTAAAAATAAACGAAAAGATTTATATAAACCTATTCCGGAAATTTATTTATGTCTTTAATATTTCAGAAACTCGAAATTCACAAAATTTGATACAGTAATTCCCACTTTTAATCAGCCCCTTTCTTAAAGGGTACCTTCTACTCGTACACTTTTTTGACACATCTCTGTATATTTTATTAAAATATTAAAATTTACAAAAATATTAAAATTGTGAAATATCTGTATTTTCTGAGAGTATTTTCTATTTGTTTCATAGTAGTACACAAAGAAATAAAATAAAAATCGGAAAATACTATACAAAAATAAATAAATACAAATTAAACTTAAAAGAAATACGTAAACTAGGTTAGCATTCTTATAGCACGAATAAATAATAAAAAATAACAGCAGCCTGGGGAAGCTAGCCTTGGCTTGCAAAGAGCCGTCATCATATTGAAAACACAGCCACACTCTTTTTTAAAGAAACTACATTTTCCTAAATTACTATTTTTTAAATTGCATTAAACCTTATGTTCAAAGTTTGCTATTAAACCTAGTGTTTCTTTAAAAAAATGCGAGTGTTATGGAAGTGACTAAAATACAGTACCTATCTACTGTAAGTTTTATTTTGTATTCAATTAAACATATAATTATAATACAGCTGAATAGAAAAATAGTAGCATTTCAATGTATGTTCAATAAATGTTTTATTTTCTGTATTCCAAGAATCTGCAGCAAACGATTTATATTGGACTAGTGCCAGGGAAGAAAATTACTTGTTGAATGAAACTGAATTGTTTTCAATATGTCTGATATGTCAGAATCAAATAAGAAATTTCTTTAAAATTATCTAACGGTTCTTGAATGTATTCGTCCTTTTAATTATTGAGATAATAAAAATCAAGAATAGTGTGGATATTAAGTAAATTCATTTTTGAGGTTATTCTGCAATTAATCATTAATTGAAAACAACTGAGAACAACAACAAAGTTGGGCCGAAAACTGTATAGGGTACTACATCACCGACATTGCAACAAACATCTAGGGGTGATTCCTCTCACCATACCAAAAAATAAAAAACGAGTAACATTTTTCGCAAAATGCAATATTATTTTTAATGTTACATAACTTGTTTTGGCAGTGGCTACAAGGAAACTACGATGTACCAAATCTAAAGTTTGTATTAACAATCGCTCTTGAGAGTCTTGAGTATTGAACAAACACTGTTTAACGTCCAACCTTTGAAGGATTGTGGACCCCGTAGGAATTATTTTAAGAAAAAAATATTACTCTTTTTGATTTTTTGTTTGTTTTGGTGAGAGGAATCAGCACTTACAAGTTTATTGCAATCCGTATTAACTTCATATAAAACTTTCTAAATTTCATTTCGCACCTGGTGAAATTTTTTGAAGACATATGTTTTCTGGTATGTATGGGGTTTTAGGCACTAAGTGCTCATACCTAGTAATTAGAAATTACTAAGTAGGTGCCAACCACCAAGCACTTACACAAAAGTGCTTAATCATTTTTTTTAAACCTCTACATGTGTTTTATGAAATTTTCCCTTGGCTTAGGAATTTACCGAAATTCTCGCCGAAGACACAATCTTCACTGAACTAACTCTATTATCCGGTGAAAATTTTAACACTTCAATTTTGAACATAAATACTACATTCACGGAACCCACTCGTATTTCTGAAATACCTACAAATTAACATCTGGGTGGGAGTTCTCTTTAAAAACACCTGGTGGATAAAGAATACATAAATGACTTCAGAATAAATTCACCATTTGGAAGTTGTCCAGTTGGAATTGGATTTAATGTATGGAACAATTACCCTTGAAAACGTTCAGTCTATTATTAGATATTTTCTTTCCACACAATAATTGAATCTCTAGAAAACCTTAATTTAAGTTTCCCAGTGATTCATCCTTGCTATACCATATTCCGGTCCTATATTAAAATTTGTCTTTTTAATCATAAAAACCATTATGATTATGAATAGTATGTATTAAAAAAAATGCATAGCCAAATCTCAAAATTATTCGGTACAGGTATCATAGGCACTTAATAATGTTTTTCAATTTAATGATCCTTCTTTTTTCTTACTACTTTATGAAACACATTTTCAAAAAAAATATAAATAGATATTGGTGTGATAAGTTTTAATAAATTTACAAAAATAGTCCACGAATGAAAGCCTGTAAAAATATATTGTTTAACATATGGCTTTATTTCATTTGAAATAATATATTTATTTCGACAAAATTTTCAATTATCTGGTTTCTGATAACGAAGAACTTCATTGTTTTTTAAAACATCCAGTTGAAATCTTGTAGGTATGTGTTTTTAACCCATGGCAGTACAATTTCTAGGTTGTAGTGTCCATTGACACCTCCCACCCCCGTACTTTTGCACTTTTGCACAAACCTATAGTTCAAATGCATTATTTTAAAGAAATTGTTTTGTTAATTAACTTTTTCCAATTTCTCGCAACATACCTACTAATTTTTACAAAAATATTCTTCGGTGGCTACAATTAAGAGATCTAATAGGTAGTCAAATTAGCTTTGCAATTCGGATTTTTTAAACATTTTTATATTATTTATTTGACCTTAACACCGCGTACACGATTTAGTTTTGACAATTATTTTGAAAACGAAATGCAGAAATATAGAATCATACATTTTTCAGTATATTCTCATTAAAAGAGCTCAAATGTGCTTTCGCAGAGGTAGCATATACACATATCGATATGTATTATTAATATTGATTGCTGCTGTTTGTCGTGATTTATGAAATATAATATTTGATTGTAGCTAATTTAAAATCTGGATTTTAAATTAACCTAATTTCTAAAATTAAATTTAATAATTTAGAAAAAACTTGTCAAAATAGATGCTTCGAAATACATCAATTTCTTTTTTAGGAGAAGCCTTAACTAAATATAGTGTAAATAAAAAAGTTATTAACTATTACATATTTAAAGGTGAAATATTTAAAAAATCGAGTTCTACATGAAAATTTTATAGGTATGAAACAAAATTAAACATACAATTTATTTAATGTACAATACCTTTGAAACATAGATGGCACAGGAAAAGTTTGGAGAGGGGAAAGAGGGACAATGGCTGTAACGTAACAATCTCCCTTTCTCCATTTGCATTTCAATTCGTTAATTTATAAGTCTTCGCAAAATTTGAACAGAATATTTGAAAAAAACTAACATTTATTTTAATTTTGAATGAAAAATTACAAACGAAATTGCCATTATTTTCACCCAAAGAATCTGCCTTTAACAACTTGACATGCTTTTTAGAAACACCCTCTATAGATGCTTTCGCAATGATAAATTTTATTTTTTCAAATTATTAGATTTATTGTATCTATTGACTTTCTTCACTTCTTTCTGTAGTAGTACCGAAAAATGAATTGTTTCTGTTATATCATTTCGAAAGAAATACAAGAATATTTCTGTTTTCCCTAATTATTATCTATCATTATTTTTAGCATATATCCCTACAATATTCTTATTGTTCTCTCTTATTGTTCTCCCGTTTAGGTTATTATGTTCAATATTCATAACAATTTGATAGATTTTGTGTAGTTTTTAAAATCCCATTTTGCTTACTTTTAATTCTTCTGCTACCAGTACCAATATGGGATTAAAATCTCTCGTCAGATTTGTGATGCCAAAATTACTCTTTATTTGTAAATTTTATACCGGCGCATATTTTTTTATTATTTTATCTTTTTGATACTTCTGATTTGATTGTAAACTTTTTCCTATAATTGGTGCCTCACATTTGAACAAATAATTTGTAAAATAACTAAATACATAAATAATCATAAAATATTACCTACATTAACCTGCGTGATCTTAATAAATTTAATATGTTTAAGTCACATTAATAAAATCTTATATTTTTAGGTCGATGTCGAGAGTTTAGCATATACATCCAAATTGTCAATTTCAAGTAAGAAGGAAAAATACATGGTTAGACCTCTGTCCAGAAAAGACATCTTCTATTCAGGATCTATAGTTAATCTTCCAGAATATCACAAGTCGCAGAAGTCGCTAACAAATTATAGGCAGAGTATTTTAAGTATACCTCAAATGCGAACACTAGAAGATGAAGGATCTCGTAAGTACATTGGATATATAATTATATAAACAGAGCCAAATTGAAAAAAAAAACATTGAAAATAGTACATGATTATAAAATATAGTTAAATACTTAGCATAATTTAGAAGTATTGAATAAAATGTTATTTAAGTACCTACTATTTTTAGAGAGCTTAAAGGAATCACTAGTAAAAGCTGCATATTTATTTGCAATGTTGAAATCAACATGAATGTATAAGACAATTCACTTTATTTTTTTTTCTATTTATTTTGATATTTTGCACCTATGGAAAAAATTAAATGCATAATAATAGTGATGTGCAATTAGGTCAATTTTATAAAATTCAAATTTGATATTTGAATTATTTTCAAACCTCTTATTTTATCATTTAACAATTTTTATTTTATTAACAAGGGAGTTATTGAAATCTGTCATAGTAATGACCTAACTTATACCTATACAAGGTGTTAAAAAAAAGTGATTCATGCCATTAGCCACAGATTTTTTGAGTGAATATAATAGGATTCACCAAACTTTCTCTTATGCACGCTTTTAATACAAAAATACCTTTTGCTTTTTATATTGAGTGTTTATTACTTTATTTTTCATTTTTGTAAAATTTTTATTTAGGGCTTAGTTTACATAATAGTTTACGCCATGTTTAGAGCATAACATTCTTTAAAAAATAATATTTTGTTAAAATATTGATTTAGAGAAGACTTTTTATTGAATCGTTTAATTTACTTAGGTATCTAATTTTAGAAATTAGAGTAATTTAGAATTGAGAATTTTGAGATTTTAAGAGCTACATTTCAATATTTGAATTCAAAAAACAAGCAAAAAATTTAAATATGCAATATTCAATATGCTCATTTGTATTCTTTTAATGAAAGAAAAACGAATAATGCTAGAAACTTTAGGTAATTTTAGCCTTCTGCAATTCATTTTCAGAATCATCAAACTGGAATCACATGTTTTGTGTTAATTAGTAATAAAATTTGGCTATTAAATGTGTAGAAACATAAATGTTTCAATTCAAATAAATTGGTACCATCCAAGGATATTTTCGTAAGCTTAGTTTGTTGTTTAAGTTAATATCCCATATCCAAAAAAGCAATAACTTGTAAACCAAAAATCCAAAATTTTTTTAAAAATTTTTACAGGAGTCGAAAGAAAAAGTTGATCCTGAAGGTACATTTTCAATTCAATTTCAACTAAATCTTAAAAAATAACAGATTTATAAATAAAACATTTTTTTCATTACAAATTTAATTAGTTCTATATTGAAAAGAAGTGCTTGAATGAAAATTTGCATAAGGGAATTTCCATTATTTTCACCTAAAGAATCTGGTTATTGGCTTGAATCACTTGGTGACATACCCATAACCTGTACATTTTACCTTAGCAATTTTGAAATATATTTTTTATTATTAGTTATAGAAATTTATATTACTAAGATGATTTATTAATTAAATATTAATTCCAGCTGGTGATATATGTCCATGCCTGGTCCTTCCAGAAAGCTTTACATCAGCCCTTGGCCAAATGATGGATATGTCTTTATTAAAAGATCCTGCATTCATGCTCATAGGGATTTCCAATTTGTTCGGAATGGCTGGTCTATATGTCCCATTTGTATACTTGGTTGACTGTGCAAAAAATGATGTAAGTATTTATTTCTGTATAAACGTTACACTGTGAGAACACCGCCAACTCACATTTAAGTCAAAATACTGCCAATAAATATTTAAATTGGCAAAAGATTTTGAGTAATGGCGAATTTCAAACTGATGGTTGAATATAAGTAAATATCAGGAATATGAAATAAATTTATTATTTTGAAATACTAGACATTTAGTCGACATCTAAAACTAATACAGAGATTGTATTTAAATTTTTGGCTGTTCAAAATGAATAAAGTCAATTATTTTCAAATTTATAAGATATAATTGCTTACTGGGTGATTTAAAAGCGTGAAAATATCACATCCGACTAAACTAAAATAAGTGGTTTGTTCGAGTTATCTGCGTTGTTAAATGACAAATATATTATTTTATAATAGTGACAGAAAGTGCACTCATTTTCAATATTCATAGTTCACGTCATTTAAAGATGCAAATTTATTTTAACAAGAAACGAGATGCAATTCAAGTCACTACATTGTTTGCTTAATAAAGTAGATTATATAATTCATTAGAAATTTAGCCAATAGCAATTTCAAATTTTACGTAGTTACTATGTATTGATAAGCGATTATACTCTTGACGACGTAGTATAACCGTTTTGGTGTTTCGCCTCCTCCAACAATGTGAACTATGTCATGGTAACGATAGTTTTAACATTTGTCAATAAACGTCAAAAAAAAATGGAACGCTTCTGTTCAAGCTCTGAATTATATAATCGTATCGAATACCACTCGAGCAAACGAAAATATTCGATTATACTAACCTCCTCACTCGACGTATATCCTTAAAACACCACTCCAGCTACGCTGTCGTGGTGTTTCGCAGAATACGTCTCGTGACTCGGAAGTATAATCGAATATTTTCTATGCTCTTGTGATATTATAACTGATTATATAATTCATTAGAAATTTAGCCAATAGCAATTACAAATTTTACGTAGTTACTATGTATTGATAAGCGATTATACTCTTGACGACGTGGTATAACCGTTTTGGTATTTCGCCTCCTCCAACAATGTGAACTATGTCATGGTAACGATAGTTTTAACATTTGTCAATAAACGTCAAAAAAAATGGAACCAATAAAGTTAGTTAATTCATTATGTAATCGTATCGAATACCACTCGAGCAAACGAAAATATTCGATTATACTAACCTCCTCACTCGACGTATATCCTTAAAACACCACTCCAGCTACGCTGTCGTGGTGTTTCGCAGAATACGTCTCGTGACTCGGAAGTATAATCGAATATTTTCTATGCTCTTGTGATATTATAACTGAATATATTTGTAAATATATTTATCATCACTATAGTCTTGTTGTTTTTAGGGTATCCCAGCCGAAGATGCATCATTTTTGCTGTCAATAATTGGTATTACAAACACTATTGGTCGAGTAGCCTGTGGATATTTTGCCGATTTCCCTCAAGTAAATGCATTATTGGTTAATAATATTTGCCTTCTTATATCTACAGTTTCGGTAGCTTTGACACCATTTTGTCACACATATGCTGCCTATATTACCATGGCAATATTCTTTGGAATAGCAATTTGTAAGTAACCTATTAACTTCTTAATTGTTATGCTCTTTGATGATGATTTCAAATATGTAACTTTAATCCAATATGATAAACATAGAAAAATAAGGATAATGCATAAAATGGAAATTTCACTTTCATTTGAACAGTTAACTGGATTTTTCACATTTTTCCTTATAGCTTTTTATCATTATCTCTTTATCATTACTAATCTTGCAAGTTACAAGTACAGCTTTATTTTGTTATGACGGATATTATAATCATAAATTTTGATTATTTACAAAAAACATTATGTTATAATAGCTATTACTGCAGATATGAAAGAATTAATATTAAGAACAAAGTAATTAAACAAATGAGTGTCTTATTTTTTGTGTAACCAAAATATCACTTTTGAAAAATATATTGATAAAAATAGTACCTAACACCTAACCGAAATTTTTATATTAGAGTAGTTAAAAAACGACCAGAACATGAAAATAAATAAAATTGGACACATTATATACTAGGTATAGCCCGGGAGCTAGCGACCGTTTTGAGTTAGTCAAATGACTATGGCAAAAGCTGAAAAATTTTCCTACGCTTCATTTGGTATCACTAATAAGTGAATCGACCTCCAGCTTGCGCACTTCCAGGGAGTGTAGCTGCAGCAGCCTCCCACAAACGTAATAAAATAAATAAAATAAAAAAACTAATACCGCAAAAACTGAGACTTTGTCGACAAGTTAATTATGTTATAAACAAAAGATAAAACGCAATTAGCTGACTTTAGAGTGGGGGTTTATGCCTCAGCTTTTCATCTAAACAAGCCAAAAATATGAACTAGGTAAACTGATACCTACCGAAAAAGCTGAAATTTGGTAAAGTAATAATCATATCGAAGGCGTCATATCATAAGGGCGTATAAACCAAATCTGAAATTTTACAGGCATACGCCTTTCTGATATTATAGTTTTGCAAAATTGGTTCATAAATGCGTTAGAATAATGTAAAATGCATTAGAATAGAGTGTTGATGTTTATGAATACATACGCCCTTCTTATATATTAAGCGAATTGATTAAATGAGGTCATACACCCTAAAAACCTAAAACCGACTATAGTGGCTCTTACGCCCTTCTGATATGACGCCCTCGATATTAATCAGTTATACGAAAAAAATTGTTCGCTGAAGTTTTTGCGATGTATAAGTGCTCAGCTGACAAGTTGAAGGTGCAGCACATCGCTATGCGTGCGGGCGCATTGCATCTTTAACTTTATCAGCTGAGCACTTTTCAATCACTAAATATAAAGCTGAGCATTTTTTTCATTTAACTTATTAAGTTAGCTATTGTATTACCAAATTTCAGCTTTTGCGGTAGGATATATCTATCATTTTTTCATTGTTCAAGTCTTATTAGTATGTAATTACATATATAAAAATATACAACTTTTTTCGAATATTTATTTACAATAAACGATCTCACGAGTTTTTCAATTTAAAGTTTTAATAAATAATTGTTCACATTTAAATACTTATGTATACATAACATAAAATTGAACTGCATCAATATTTGCTGTGTGAGAATGCCACAACATTTTTCAATAAACAAAAATGATACGCCACTGACTTTCCCATTTTGATATTTTTTCAGAAATCCGCCATTAATTCTGAATGAAATTGGTCTCTTCAATTTTTTTTCGTAGGATGTACCGTTTTGAGGAAAAATTAAAAAAAATTATTGCAAGTTGTGTATTTTTAATTTCTATTGATACATTATCTAGTAGGTTGCTGTCAATATGTCTAAATAAAATACAACCATCAAATTTCGAGTTAATATCTTTAAAACTGAAATAATTAATAAAAATAGATAAAAAATTAAAATTTAAACACTGTATCTTGATAACGAAGAATTTTCGACCTACGTTTATATGATTTTTTTTCACAAAATAACTTCGGCAACCACCCCATAAAAATTTCGCACTTATTTACAAACACCGTGTATATTTACATATGAAGAACTAACATTGACCCCAGCGACCATGAGTTTGAGGGTGATGAATCGGAAGATGAAATAGATAATACATAGATTCTTTCATAGATAACGTTTATTGTAAATAAATATTCGAAAAAAGTTGTATATTTTTATATAATTATAGTAAAACTTAAAAAATGATAAAATAATACATATACCACAAAAGCTGAAATTTGGTAATACATTAATTTTAAAGCCTGTAACAAGAACAGCTCGTGATATGAACTCTGCCTTTGAAATTTTACAAATTAATTGATTGTAACATACTCAATTCTCAATTACATTTTTCTCAAAAACAATGCTTTTTAGCACGAGTAGTTTATATAATAAAATGTACTTTACTAACAATATTGATGTAGATACATTTAGCATCCACAAAAACTTAGTTGTTGCTGACCAAATTTCAATCATGTTCCTTTTAAAAAAGATATTTGATATTAATCAATTAGTTTTGTTGACTTGTGTTTTAACAAGGTCCATAAGAAAAAATCATATTATTTTTTGATCTATCAGTCCCCGAGATTATGGAATCTATTTTCAACATACTCTGTGTAATAAAATTACCTATTTGAAACCAAATGGTACCATAAATAATTATAGCACATTTTGTGTGTTAGGTTACAATCATAAAATTATTTTCTTTAGAAAAGTAACACATTTTTTTGTCAATTGAAAATTTCAGTCTGCGTTGATGTAGATCTCCATGTTGTAAAATTCATATTAACTGTGAAAGATTAATACAGTTTTTTAAAAGCTGAATGTTGTACATCCATATACAGTCCATAGCCACCATATGACAGTTTGCGATTTTAAAAGTCCCATCTATACCTAGATATCTCCCATTTACTGTCTTTCATTATTGGGGGCCTCAATGATTGGTCTAGTTTTACTCCGGGGCCCTAAGCTGTTTAGTTTATTTATTTCTCAAAGTAGAACAAGGGTTTTCCCAATAAAGTTAATGCCTTATAATAAACAACAAATTAATTATAGCAATAATTTAAAGACTGAATGAATTACAAAATTTTTCAAATATGTAATTGGAAAATTGGAAAAAAGGTTAAATATTACAAATTCATTAAATTGTAAATTGTATTTTTAGTATTAGTAATATCATATCATTGTTTTTTAAAGACAACTACAAAGATGACAAAAACATTTTAAACATTAATTATTTTACCATTTCACTTATATATCCTTAAATGTCCTTATGATGTACTGTGTTCAGCTACTAAATAACTAAAGTTGATGAAAAAGTTTTGTTTTTTCTAAATAACTAAACGATTTGCTATATTTAATTGAAATATATGTTAGTATTTATGTTTAGATGTCACTTCTTGACGTAGTAACGTCATTTGACATAGTTGTCAATACACTTGCTATCTTTTATTTAGTTTATTTTGTGGAGGAAAGAACTCTCCAAATAAAACTTCTAGATATCAATTTCTCCCTCAAAGAAACATGATAACAAAATATTGTAATGTCTGTATAGATTTATAAAACTTGGACTGTCAGTTTAACCAAGTTAAGGTAAAAATTTACTGAATTTGTATAGAATTACTTAACTAGTGGCAAAGATACTGTGATAAACCGTCATTAAAGAACCTTCGAAAATTTCGATGTCACTGAATATTTTGAAAATTTATAAGTCCAGTTGATTCTTTATTACATTTCAAAGAAACAAAGAAATCTTCCAATTTATTCAAAAAGTGAGCCATTTTTAAGTGATTATTATTTTTTGTTATGTCAAAAGTTTCTAATGGAATTTTTTGTTTTAAGTATTTAGTTTTATATATGTTTTGATGTTTATGCACTGAAAAAACCATCCATGTGATAATTAAATAACTTGTAACATATTATATACAGGGTGATTCATAACTTATCTAAAAAAAAATTTTTGGATGTACAGCGCTCTTACAAATACAATTTTGTAAATAAAAATCGAAAGTCGGCAGTTTGAAAATGATTTAAAAATACACTTCTGCATGGTACTGGAAAATGGTCCACTGTAAAAACTAACCCTGCGTAAGGCAAAGCATGTAGCATGAACAGACAAAAAAAATGAGACTTCCTTTCCCAAGGAAAAAAATAAATAAAATTTTACAACACCTATTTTATGTCGGCAAATTCAACTGCTTTTGCCGTTATTGTTATTATTGATTAATAAAATTTATTTATGGTTTTAATTAATAAAATAATTTGACATACCTACTGTTACAACAGCTGTTCAAATTTTGGTCCACCACGTGCAAACACATTTGGGACCGTCTTATCCTACTTCTAACTAACACAAATGTTGTCTCGCTTCACCATAAATCAAAACGATCTCCATCAACTCCGAGTTACTATACACATAAGCCATTTTTGACACTTGAAAAACTAATGTAAACACTGTTCGGAATCACCTGGGGCCACGTGGAAAGAGAGCGCATTGCGTACAGCACACAACACAAATGACACTAGAGACTACAGTAGTCCAGCGATGTAAGGGTTTCAAATACAACTTCAATAATTTTTTTCTTGGAAACTATAAGAATTTTACAAACATTTTTTTTATGATATTGACTCCATTTTTCATGACACATCTATTCCCAAATTTTTTTGAATAAGTTGTGAATCACCCTGTTTAATAGAGTGGTCAGGTAACAGAACTTGGCTGCATATAAAGAAGAGCTATGGAAAGAATCGACGATTGACTATTGATGACGATTGACTATTGATATTGGACTGTTTTGTCATTTCGACAGTGTTCCTGGGCTGATTTTTTTTTTTTTTTCATTTTCAGGCCTTATGCATACAGCTAAATCAAATTATTATTTTCCTAAGTAAATTTTTTCCATGGAAGGTACCTGACCTACTACTAAGTTCCCCTGTCATTGTAACTCTTACTGCACATCTCGTAGATAAGATGAGTTTTATCAAGTTGTATATGTCTGTCGCATGTCAACTTGTTACCTAATTTAAATACGAATACGAATTTCGGCTCAGAGCTTCGAGGACAGTGTAGAAGTTGATCGCCACATTGTTACTATATTATAAATGTATGCTTTTTATAGTAAAATTACAAATATATCCTTAAAAATATAAATTTTTACCAATTGCTAGTAACATATTGAATTATTATTATTATCCTTTATATTTAAGTGGGAGGTTATCGACCAAATGACCCCGTATGGAAACAGCCAGTGATGAATATTTTTGTTTAGTTACCAGCCAGTTACAACATAAGTTTGAAGGAACCTTTCATAACAAAATCACTCCCTTTATTTTCGAAACTTATTGGACTGCCTTGTATAATTAAAAAAAAATAAATATGTAAATAAGCTGTTGTAATTCTAGAATGAAATATGTATTATTTATCAAAATCAAATTCCCATAATTTTTTTTTATTGATACAATTGTTCAATTAAAGGACCCCGTCGGAATCCTTATGTAAATTGGTTTTCGGTCAAATGGTTTGAAACCAGGTGGTTTTTGTAGCTTTTGAGTGGTAGATTAAAAGTGTCAATAGGCATCAAGCCCTTAAAATTCATTGTTCAAAGTTGCAGCTTGCTGAAGCTACAATGCTTTAGATTTCGCTACCTGCATAGTATAGTAATAAAATACTACATTTTTGCTCAGTGCCCAATAATCCAATAACCCAATAAACTATCGAAGATATATCGAGATTTCTGACTGAAAGGGTTAAAAACGATATTGAGATGATCTTTCAGATCACGATCAGTACAATCGATTTTTCACAATCATCGTCGTACAATAAAAATCATAGCAATTGACGTCTGCATTTGCGTCACCCGATGTGCACCACCGGGAGGTTGCTAGATCGGACTTAGCACATCATGTTGCCCTAAACAGGGCTGATTTTCAGAGTTGAAAGATCCTGTCTAGCAGGAATCTAATACCTTAACCTAATACTTCAATATTATTTTTGTTCTCATTGCGTGCATCTGATGTTGAATTCAGCAAGGATTCATCGAGGTACTTGATATCATTTTGATACCGCGTGTAGCCTAAAAACCTGAAAATGCAGGCGATATGAGCGCATGTACCCAACGTCCGGGCACCAGAAATATAAAATGCTTTATTAATAGTTTAAAAAATAATTTTTTTCTAGAATTATCTCACCAATATGTAATCTTGAAATGGGATTAAGCAATTAACTAATGTTTATTTTTTAAAAAACATGTATCCATCAATACCTTTACAAAAGTACGAGAAACTTCATTTAATACTTTTGATTAATCGATTGATTGATTCAAAAGTATGTTTTGGTGAAATAATGTAAAAGAACGTTAATCTATCTATTAATTCTTTTCAAATATATTAAATGATAGCTTAATACTTTTATGCATAAAGTAACATTTTATTTCAAAAACGCAGTATTCGCTTTGATTCACTAATTGCAACATAATATTTTATGCATGCTGCGGTGACTTGCTGAACTTTAAGCCAGAAACAACTAGATGACGATAAAATCATGAGGAAAAATGATAGAGTTTGTTGACGAGCATACAAATGAACGGAATAAGATGTTATTGCACATGTTTATCTGGTGACTGGACTTTAGGCACATGCGCTCGTATTGTCTGCATTTTTGGTTTTTAGGCTACGAGCGGCTTCGAAATAATTTCAAGTACTCCAATGAATCCCATGATGTGCTAAGTCTGATCTAGCAACCTCCCCGTGGTGCACATCGAGTCACGCAAATGCAGACGGCAATCGCAATGATTTATATTGCGAGCTGCAACTTTGAACCATGAATTTTTAAGGCTTGACGCCCATTGCCACTTTTAATCTACCACTCAAAAGCTACAAAACACACCTGGTTTCAAACCATTTGACCGAAAACCAATTTACATAAGCATTCCTTCCGGCGGAGTCATTTATCTTAACCGAAAATAAGAACGAAAACTATTGTCACAATGATTGCAATTAAATATTTGTATTGAATTTGAGTGTTATCATTTTGTATAATTACAATGTGTTAACGTGTGTGTTTTGTTTTAGCTGGTTATATCTCTTTAACTTCCATTATTCTGGTGGATCTTTTGGGTCTCGATAAGCTGACGAACGCATTCGGCTTATTAATTCTTTTCCGTGGTGCCGCTGCCATTGTTGGTTCGCCACTAGCAGGTGCCTTACTCGATGCGACTGAATCCTACAGTGTGTCATTTTTTGTTGCTGGTGGATTTTTCGCAATCTCAGCATTAACAAGCTTTATAGCACCTTGCCTAAAACGTTTCTCGCCTGAGGAAGAACAGCCAATCGGGGATGGTGATGTTCTGGCACCTATTGACGAAGATGAAGAAGAAGATGAACCTATAACAATGGGGCAAGGAGGCGGAAGACACGTTCCAAAAATAATAGAAACTGCTTCCAGTCCTGGAGAGAAAGAAGAAATTCAACAAAAAGAATCTGTTTTATAAAAGAAAGTTACGGGATAAAAAAATGTAAATAAGTTTTCTGAACGACTGTTAAATAGTTATTAATTTCTGGGAAATCAGTTTTATATGAAGAAATTCATAATGGTTCTTTTTTATTTTTAAGAGTAATTTTAACTTAAAAGCTGTGTTTAAAGTGACAGTATTTGTGAATTTTAGTCAATGTAAGTCCGAAGTAGGCCATGTATGTTTAAACTCTATTGTTAATTAGTTAATATGTATATAAATAACTTCGACAATATTAATAGAATCGCTACTGTTTGTCTTTAAGACGCTGCACAAAACAAATCGTCCCACAAATCCTAGTTAACCCTTCAACTGGAATATCGGTTATTTTTTTTATATCTTAAGTAGCTATTTTTTTAGCGAGCGATGTGAGAATGTTTCAGTTGTCAGGGGAGACGTTATTTTTAAATTTTTACCTTTTTTAGCTTGAGTTCATGTCATACCTGCTCAGGTGCAGTTGCAGTTGCAATTTTTAATAAAAATAGCCTTATCATAGATATAGTACCTGTGCACCTCAAGTTAATGTACTTTATTCTTTAAATCGTACACTTAAGTAAAAATGTAATGATCTCAGTGCTGTTTTATTTCACCTAATAAAACTAAAATTAGAACCTAAAGTCTATTAATACTCCCTATTTAATAATTTGCTTATTAAATAATTTATTCAGGTTACTAAGCTACGCGATAGCTATTATAGGGAGGCAACAGATCGAGTCTCGGATCAAGCCAAAAAGAGGATGAAGAAAATTATATGGTGCAGGCATCGTTGATTGAAGGTATACATACAGGGTGTCCCGAAATTCATGCAACAAAATTTGGTCACAGATTCTCAAGACAAATTTAGGGGACTCGTATTTTTTATTTTTGCCAAGTGGCCCCCTCTTTCGGAGTTACAGCCCCCTTAAGTCCGCCCCTAAGAATAATCTTTTTTTTATATCTCGGAACTCTGTTGTACGAGAATCAGTAAATTTGGTACACAGGGGTTTTATGACATGTGGAATCTGATGGTGCTGCTTTTTTTGGCGGTGTACCCCCTTAAGACAATTTTTCGTGGGCCCCCTTGTCTTTAGATCCAAAAAAATTTGGTCGCATATTTAAATTTCTTAAAAATTATCTGTCCACTAGGAAGCCATTAATCTTAGAAACTTTTTGTCACTTTATACTTTTTCCGTAAAACGCAATGTTTTAGAGAAAAATGTCAAAATGTGATCGAATGCATATTGTGATTCGCCATTTTCCTCAATCATTGCGTTTTACGAAACAAATATCAAGACAAAAAAGTTTCTAAATTCAATGGCTTCCTAACTAATAATTTTTAAAAAATTCAAATTTGCGACCAAATTTTTCTGGTTCCAAAGACAAGGGGGCCCACAAAAAAGTGTCTTAAGGGGGTTTCTTGCCAAAAAGCGTAGCACTGTGAAATTCCACGTCATAAAACCCCTGTGTACCAAATTTAGTGATTCTCGTACATGGTTTTGAGATATAAAAAGACTTCTTAGGGGCAGATTTCAGGGGGCTGTAACTCCGAAAGAGGGAGCCAGTTTGCAAAAAGAAAAAATACTGGTCCCCTAAATTTGTCTTAAGAATTTATGACCAAATTTTGTTGCATGAATTTCGGGACACCCTGTATAAAGAATTTCTTATGCCGAATGACAACAAAAACTTTAAAAGCATTTTTAGAGAAACCTCTTTTTTTTTACTGTCTGGAAACATAAATGTTCTCAATTGACTTGAAATTTTGTACAGAGCTTCACAATAAGGAAACATCATAGAGATTTTTCAATTGATTAACAATTAATAACAATTAACTTTGTTATTAACAATTTATTTAATACAAAATTTTAGTCTTTTTTCGATACTTTTTTTCTAATGTTCACTAAAGCAACAATTATTAATATTTTTTAATTTCCCTACGAACTTCCCTAGCTTTTAGTATATAACATCAGAAAATTTTTGTTTTTTTGTTCTAAGACCATCTGTTAATAAGGAACCTTTCTGGACATACAGTCCTTAGAATAAAAGGTGTCATTGCTTGCCATCACCTACAGCTAGGGTTGCTAGATTTCGGAGTCTTCGAGTTTTGATGGTACATCTTCGGGCTCCAGGTTAACATGCCATTTCTCCGGGCTTTCTTTGTTGCAGAAAAATCGTGATTTCTTCTAAAGGAAATCCATCTAGATCCATATCTACGGGTTTGTCACGAAGTAGATATTTCTTGATTGTGTCCTTTTTTTAGACTTCGATTTCTTCAAAAACAATGTGTCTCTCAGGTTTCCTGATTGCATTTGCAAAACCGTTTTTTTTTTTTAGGCATCAGTTATACAAACGGATCATGTCTCCGGGTCTGTCATGAAATAGATCTGGTAACCCTACCTACAGCTGCTATTTTGAATCCAAATTGTTCCAAAAATTCCACAATACAACCTGAAAATATGTAAAGGAAGCATTTTTGTTCCTGACACTATATCTTGTACAGATTATTCCTTGAAAATTCCCGAAAATCATCTTTTTTCCAACCTCTACAGTGCCGTTACTCCTAAAATTAAACATATCCAAAGTTGCCTCATTTAGCTAAAGGTTATTAAAGTTCTCTATAATTTTTTTCCAAATAACTCTAAAATACTTTTGTACTTGTTTTAAATGAAATATAATCACTTTATCACGGTAGAAAGTAAAACTGTCCCTGCCAAATTTTAAATTGTTATTAAAAAAAACTATTAAACTATTTGCAACAATTTATTGGTACCTTTCAATTATTATTAGCAGAGAGATTTTGGTCTTTTGTGGTGAAGCAGTAGGTACTTAAACGCGTTTTAGCAAAAGTGACAATAATAATTGCTCCTCATATTAGCATTCTAGCCCTACTTAAAACAAATATTAATTTTCACATAGCAGTGTCATTTTGTTTATTTAAAATATTAATAAGCATAGAATAAAATTAAAGTGATCAAGCTTTAATAATGAAGCGTTGGTTAGAAGAATGGTTTTTTAAGGGATTTGTTCTGTTATGAAAAAATTTCGAATGAAATTTGCAAAATAAATTAAAATAGAGGTAACTTATACCACTGATATCTCAAAAAGTATTGCACATACACATTTGCAAAATATTTTTTTCCGTAATCAACTTATAAGTTTGATTTACACAAAATTTTCAATTTTCTTAAAATTAAAGCATTGTGAAATTTGAAAAATGGAATGTTAGTATCAAATTGAAATTTAAATAAAACACTATGAAGAAAACTGAATTTTATAAAAAGTACCTATAAAAAATACCTCTTTGTATCTATCAGTTGATTATAAAATAAAATATTGGAAATATTTGTGTAACCCTTTTCAGGGTAGACCACCCCTATTTGGGTCACCTAGAAATCAACCCCTAAAAAACAATACAGGTCCCTTGCTTCATTATCAAAATATGACCACTTTAATTTTCACAAGCTGTCACTGGTATAATTTTTTATTCACATATAGAGTTGGAAAAAGAAAGAAAAAAAAAGAAATCTTAGTATTTTTGCTTAATTAATATTGTTTCAATCATAACTAATTAATTTCTGATAAAAAACTTTAGACGGAGATAAATTAAAATTATAGTTTTTTTTTTAAATCAATAGCATCATTTTTGTTACTTCCTTCAAATTCTAACTAATTAAAAGTAGGTACTGAACTAAGCTAAATTAGTTGTGTTTTGTGTTTTCAACATGTCTCATTAGAATAAAAGAAAAATTACATGTTCAACAGCTTTGATTAATTAAAACAAAATTGTTTATTTATTTTTTGCGTTTATATGAAGTTTTCAAGATATGGAGGTTTACAGAAAATTGAAAATTGTATTTTTTTAAACGAGAATCAACTGTGCATACAAAAAAGGTCTCCATTTTGCTTTAAATGTTAGCAAACATCTTAACAATTCTTATCTCTACCGCTGCATTAGTAGAGGTACCACCGTTAGTTGGCTATATTGCTCACCAGACGTAACTCCCTACAACTTCTTTTGTGGTTATTTAAAATTTTTGGTATACACAATAGCAGTATTTAACTTGGAAGACTTTTGGGAATGACACGTAATTTACTTTGTGGAATTTGACAGAAGCATGTTTAACATACTGGCCATTTTGAAGAGCTGTATAATAATTTTTCGTGTTTTCTTTTTTTTCCATTTATTTACTAGATTTATTTGATAAAAACTGTTCTTGTTCAATTTATTATAAATCTTGATATTTGGAAAACTATTTGTGTACACACAAAATGCAAATAAATTTTTTTCTGGCTTTTAAGTGCATATTACTGTACTGCTGTCTGTGTGAGCAAACATCGTTAACACCCTTTCTCATTTACTTTTTAACTTAATTTTGCTGAATGCAAGATTTATTTAAAAAAAAAAACAAGATCTTGCAGTAAGACAATACTGGAATAATGAATCTCTTTTTAGCACATTTTGGAAGTAGTTTAAAAAATATAGTATAAATAATTGTGACTTGCTGTTTAAGAATTAAATATAACTTTTGTTACATGACTCTTACCAACATAGTTATTTGATGTGAGATGTAAGGAATATTTCGTTGAATGTTCAAAATCAATTTATGACTAGTTTCATTGACCTTTCCAGTGTTTATTTAAAAACTTCATAGTTGACAATAGATACTACAACAAGGTAAACATTACCAAAGGTGATTGTTTAAAAATAAACAATAAATTTGATATAAGTACCTACATCATTCATATATTTGATATGATATTGAATTTCTATAACATAAATTATAATATAAAATAACATTTTTTATATACTTTGTAGAGTATTAAACTGATATTCATTAAGTATATTTAACCAAAATTAATGTATCAGACATTTCAGAAAAATTTTTTATCTAAATCTTCATTTAAAAACTAATAAAATGTATTCAGCACTATGTTTTGATATTGATGGTAGCGAGAGCTTATATCAACTTCATTAAGTATGTAATACCAAAACAAGTAAAAAAAAAACATTGATACTTTACACAGTCACAATCAGTGGAAAATTTATTTAAGTATTTTCACAAGTACTTAGATTTTATCATTCCTAAAATGAAGTAAATCTGGTTCAAAAGAATCGGGAAAAATTAAGATTACAGAAATGAGACATACCACTTAACATTTTAAAATACTTTTTATCAAGAAAATGTGCAGGTGTACATGTTTTATTTATCTAATTTCATTCGTCTGAAACATATTTATAGTAAAATTATTCAATTTTGAAAACTGCTATTTAATAATGATACAAAAATTAAAATTAATAGATGTCTTTTGCAAGTAAAATTATATCCTTTTTCCACGATATTTTACTATTTGCATATTATTTATTACTTTATTTGTATTTTTCACAAATATGTTGCCAGTTATTTAAATTTTATGTAGGTAATATTTAATATTACCAGCCTTTAATAAATAATTAAATTCAATAAGGAAAAACATGTACATACATGAAAAACATACTATGTATGTAGTATGTTACTGCTTGATGTACTCGTATCATTTATTGAAAATGAAAAAATACTAAACTGATAGTATTTTGATAGTAGGAATCAGGAAATATGTAATAAATGGACTTTGTAATAGGACAATAACAGTTATAATTTCAAATGGCAACAGCCTCTATTGTATTGTAAAAATGTAAAACTCGTTTAATTGGAATATGGCAATCAATTAAAAATAACTGATAACCTTTTGAAATGTTTGATCTATTTATTTCTATACAGGGTCAGAATATTTTTGAAAAAAATAGATATGGTGAAAACTCGTCGCACTTTTATTAAAGCGTCACGTCTGTAAGAAAAATTATGTTAATATTTGGTATCTCAAAGATTAAAAGAAATCGTTGATATTAAAATTTATTTTTGTTATGCCAATTTAAAATGTAAATATTTATTAATACACTTTAAATGTTAATATATCAAAGATAATGTTCGTTCTACTTTAAAAATATTTCTTGTTAGGATAACTTGTAAAGTTCTTTGTACTTTACAAAATCATCCTGGTAGTTACAAAGTTACAATTGTGCAGCTTTGGTAGTGGGGTCCTTATCAAGAAGTGATTTTATAAAGATTTAGTTCTAGTAAATATAATATTCGTTATTATCTCATCAAATTTTAGATAAGGTCTGAAGACTCAATCTGAAGCAACTGCAGAGACATTCGAGTTGTCGGACACAGTACTGCTCTACATCATTCTACTTTAAGGATAATGGTAAGTTCAGTTATATAAATTGAAAATTTCTCATGCACAAACATTTTAAAATCAATTAGACCCTATAAGTTGTTTTTTATATCATTAAGTAAACAAGTATCATTAAGTAAACTTACAGAGATTATAGGCTTATAAAAATATTTATTTAAAATTTGTATTAGTTATTAATCTACTATAAATAACATGAATAACATCAATTAATACCAGATCTTACAAATCGACAAACAGGTAAATTTCATATTTTGAATTCTGATATGCTTAACAAAATTTTATATTGCAATTTTGAAAAATTAAATTTATAGTTCCACAGTGTATGTTAACCATCCATGTCACCAATCAACCATCTGTTATTTCTATTAGTTATTATGTAAATGAATGCCCTCCAGTCTTAGGCACATATTACAATTATAATCTGTTAATAAGTAATAAGATTTGAAAGGTGTATTTTACATGATATTTAAAGGAGGCAGCCTACTGTCTTGTACAGTAATTGAAAAGTTCAACAGAATATGTTATAAAATCAGGTCAAGGATGAAACACATGAATCTTTTTTTAGCGTTTATAACCAGATTTTTGTGTTAGCATATACCTAACACCTTATTAAAATACAAAACATGTACTGGTGAAAGATTATAACAAAATGTTATGGAAAGAACAGTAGTAGAAACATAAAGGTCACAGACTGATACACATTTTATTTTAAATTCGCTGTCATTTTTAAAGTGACGATAAAAAGAGAGTGAAATATCATTATGGAAATTTAAGAACAAACTTGTTCTTAAAATCTTGAAGGTGCACTTTTACAATGTGGGGCAGTCATAACACTCACCTACTTATTTGTTAAAGCAGTAATTTATGTAATCCTGAATTATAAAAATTTCACTACATGAATAAATTGTTAGAATTCCTTATAATTATAATACTGCAAAGTACTACTCTCTTATGAGGCAATTTATAGTTATGGTAATTTTAACATAAAAATAATTATTAAAATATATTTTTTTTTCTTTATAGAGATTAATTTTAAATTTAAAACTAAAGTTATATTCTATATAAAAGCATAGCTCTAATTCAAAATGTTTCAGTCTGCTACAGAAAGGAGCTATGAAGAAGTAACTCAATTAAGAGTTCCGAAAAATGAGGACGATGATCACAACGATCTACCGCCACCTCCAGATGGCGGTTATGGTTGGGTAATAGTTGCAACTTCATTTTTGTGCAATATGGTTGTGGATGGGATCTCTTACACATTTGGTATATTTCTTCCTGAAATAGTCAAAGACTATGGGGAGACTAAAGGAAACGTAGCCTGGGTCGGTTCCTTACTTACCGGAATGACCATGTGTGCTGGTCCGATAGTGAGTGCACTTGCAAATAAGTATGGTTGCCGGACAGTGTGTATCGTGGGTAGCTTAATATCGACAGCGGCATTCGCTCTATCAATTTTCTCGCCAAATGTTATTTGGTTAATGTTAATTTATGGATTTGTGGGTGGTACCGGATTTGGTTTAATATATTTACCTGCAGTTGTATGCGTAGGATATTATTTTGAATCCAAGAGATCACTAGCAACTGGTATAGCAGTGTGTGGTTCCGGAGTAGGTACTTTTGCATTTGCTCCTTTAGCTACAACACTGCTTCAGATTTATGGATGGAAAGGTGCCAACTTAATACTTGCTGGAATTATTCTCAATTGTGTTATATTTGGTGCACTTATGAGGCCCCTACAGTATCCTGAAAAGAATAAAGTAACTAATAATTCAGTGAGAGCTACTTCAGTAATAATACTTGAAAATTCTAAACTTTTTCAAGGACCTGTGAAATCTGCTTCACATGGAGCCATAGCACTTTCTGTCAATGATGTCAGAAACAGAATTGATTCTGTTGGATCCATCACTGGCCGAAATCTTCTTGAGGTGGGTAATTTCTTAATTAAGTAAATATTACATATAGATTAGTAATAGGGTGTTAGCATTAAATAAATGTATACTGTTTTATTACTGAATATTTATTTATTTATGGGTAACGGTTTCTTGTAATCAACTTGCAGTAGCTGTTGATGAAGTGAATATGTTAGTAAAAATAGCTTTAAATAATATAGCTCTTTCTAAAATATTATTCAAAAATGAGAAATGCTATAAAATAGTTTTTTACCAACAGTCGATTTTTAAATTTCAAGTTAATAAATCTAGAGTGAACTAAAAAAAATATTTGAATATAAATGTGTGATATTATTTTTGCAAGACCTTCCCAGACACAAGGGATTGCTAACCATTTTATGGACACCCTATATAACAGATAAGAAATACCATATCGAACTAAAATCAAAATTAAACAATATTTATATTACTATTGTACAATGAAATGCGGACTGTACAAATAACTATGCTATTAACTCCTGACATATTATTAAATGTTATTTAATATACTAAACTTATGACATAAAAGAGTATGACATGTTATTACGGGAAATTTCTTATTTAAGGTTATTCCTCTCTTTGTCATAGAGAGAAAACAGTAGTATGAGATTTTAGTTATATTTGCTTTATTATAAAGGTATTAAGTTAAAAATAAATTAAAAAATTTTTCCTAAAAAATTTTAGAAACAAAAATTTAATTTTTTGCTACTGTTCTTTAAATATGTAATTTTTTTAAAGAATATTTTATATACCTATATATTTTTTTCTATTATTATTTATTAATTCCATTCACAAGGGTAAAATGTGGAAATAGTTCTATAGTGGCTATTTTTACATTTGTTTTTATGTCTTTGGAAAGGATGATGTTAGAACAATAAAAACACAAGACATATTTTTGAAATATTGCATTATTTAACAATTTCACTATATCTGGAATGTTTTTTAATTTTAACATATTTAGACAATATCATTATTAATTTTTATTTTAGATAATTATTTATTACTACCTGTTTACTAGATATTGCTAGTACTAGTTTAGGGCTATATGCGCCTAGAGTAAATATTTCCTGCAATACCAGTAGTTAGCAATCTTGTATGTGTGGTTAGATATCTTTTGCAGGCTAGGTTTTTGGTATTGAAGAATCGTTTGACCTCATTTGATATATTTGATATTTTTAGAAAAACATCTTTTAAATCTATTTGAATTAACTTGATACCTCTATAATGTAAAAATATGAGCTAATAATAAATATATATCTTTAAAAATAAATTTAACAGAACTGACAGAATTAAAACATAGTCTAGTAAGTCACCACTAACGTCAAATTAGTTTAGTTTAATATTTTTTAAATTGTGTTAGATAGTGGTTTCCTACAAAAATAGAAAAATATTAATAAAAATAGAAAATAATGTCCTAAGATAATAATCTATGTATGTTACTACAGAAAACAATTGTTAAGTAAATTACGATAATTTGTATAATAAAAGTTACTTGAATTGATGGGAAAATGTCACATAATACGATGAACTGACATCTTTCTTATTTTCTAAGTATTTTTTAAGCCTCCAATAAAAATACTGGATTATTAAGTTACTAGGTAATTTACCAATCAATCACCATTTAAAATGCTACTATTATTCTATTAATATTTTCACAATATGTACAAAAAGAAATATTTTTCTTAAATTAATTACAGGTTGAGAGTTCAACATTTACATCTAAATTATCACTTGCAAGTAGGAAAAGCAATGTTATTCAACCATTAGCAAGGAAGGATGTCTTCTACTCTGGATCTATACTGAACTTAAAAGAATTTCAATCACAAAAGTCACTGGCTAGTTACAGGCAGAGCATTACAAATATGCAAAATATAAGGAAAGCTAAAGGTAATAAAATCTAACAATATATTACTGATCTACTGAATACATACAGATTTACAAAGAAATATAACAAACCAACAACAACAAATTCTTCGGTAAAAATAATTATTGAACTTTACTCATTCTATTTTACATCTAGGCAAATGGCAACATATTCAGTTGATTCTGCATATACATTTATGATATATTGACATATTTTTTATATAATTATGATAAAAAATCACATTGCGATCATAAGAACAGGGTTTGTAGACCCCATATTCATTTTTATACACATCCATGATTCAAAGTATTGTTTTTTAGACTAAGCATTTTTCATTCTAGTAAAACTTTATAGTGTTTGGTTTATGAGATACAGTAACTTCTTTAGATATTTAATATTGACCGGCTCATTATTGTATAGGATAATTTCTCTTAAATGACGAACTATAAACCATACAAAAATATCCATGTATGGCATCAGTTTGGATTTGTTTCTACATCAGGTCTAACAAACAAATTAGCTTTGCAATTCAGATTTTAAAAAGAGTTTATTATTTATTTGTCATTAGCACAATATGTACGTGCTTAACGTTTGACAACTGTGAAAACGAATTGCAGGGAACAAATTTTGCAAATTTTCTAGCATATTTGGTTACTTGTTAAAAGTCTAAGTACATATGCATTTAAACAGATGGTAGAGAAACTGAACACTTAATATCGATTTATATTTCTTCTGTTATTTGAGTTTTATTATTGGAATGTGGCTAACTTAAAATGACGATTTCAAATTAGTATTATTAAAATATGCCACGTTTTCTTTTTTTTTTTTGAATACCGAGCTTTAAACAAAGAAATATATTCCCATCACATATTCAAAGTCGCAATATCTCGAAAACCAGACCCTAAATCCTAAATCTAAATTTTAGTTTCCAAAGATAGATTATATAAGAATCTTTATCGAGAATCCTTACCAAGATTGTTCTTTGAAATAGAACAAAGAAGAAAGTTTGTACTACCTTTCAACAAAGTTGCAGTGTCTTGAAAAACAAATCCTACAACAAAATTTTACAAGGACAAAAAAAAGTAACTGAGTAACTATAGGATCTAAAAAATAATATCTTGTGTTAATAGGAAATAGTTGGGGGAGGAGGGTTAATGTCTACTACAACACCCTTTCTTGTTCATGTTTTGATTTTTTTTAAACAAAACTACAAAAGTGTGACCATAAATGTCTGTCAAATATTTTTAAAAACAATGTGGTTTTTAATTTTAGCATATAATATGTTCTATTATTTTCGCCCAAATTTAACAATTTTTTTGTGACATACTAAATTATAAACTAACGTATAATGAGTTCTTGGAATATGGAATAACCATCAATAAATATCTACTTTATTTTTAGATGAAAATCCTTATGTAGAACTATTAAAAGACCCAGTCTTTATGCTTATAGCAATATCAAATTTATTTGGAATGGCTGGTTTATATGTACCATTTGTATATCTCGTTGATTGTGCTGTGGCAGATGTAAGTAGACTTAATTGTCCATGTTATATTTATGTAATTTACCAATTTTATCTACAATAACAATGCGAAATAAATTACTTTGATTATATTAAACAAAAGGATGTACAAATGATTTAATTTGTGTTTGATCAAAGATTATAGATGACACTCTATTTCTTACAAGCTTGTAATTAAATATCTACAATTCTAATGCATATTTGCAAAGTAAATCATAATAGTGGCTATAGTAAACATTTAATGAATTTATACACAATCAAATAATCAATGTCAAATGTAACTATGTACTATAAATAAATATAAACATTATAGGGTAGATTTTTTAAATACATTGTTATATGGTGCAAAATTAATGGAAATTATTTTTATTTCATTTAGAAAATAGATTAATAAATTATTCTAATATTTTCAGGGTATCGATGCGAACAGTGCTTCCTTTTTACTATCAATAATTGGAATTACTAATACAATAGGACGTATAATCTGTGGATACTTCGCAGATTTCCCCCAAGTGAATGCATTATTAGTTAATAATCTTTGTCTAGTCTTGGGTGCAGTATCAATAGTATTCATGCCATTCTGTCATACGTATATGGCGTATTCAATTGTTTCAGTACTTTTCGCTATTGCTGTATGTGAGTAGTTTATTTTTATTTTTTGTAAAATTTCGACATAATTAATTTGCACAAAGCATGCATGCAAGGCACACATATTTTTCAAGTTGGCATTGCCAGTAGATTTTTTCTTACTTACTTGCAAATAAGTTAGGTAATTCTATTTTTCAAAGTAGTATTGCTGTTAGTAAACTTCTCTTCAACACACCATCACACCAAATTTGTTAAAAAAGAAAAATGAAAAATAAATAATAATAAAATAACAAATGTAACAAAAAATATTTGCAAACTGATAAAAAAAATAATAAAAACTATAAAAAACAATAAAACCTGTAACAACTGAAAACAATATCTACAAAAAGTGGACAACAAATATAAACACCGACAGTGCGCAGGCCATAATAAGAAAAAAGCATGTACCTACTTCAATTATATGTATTTCTTATTAAACGAATCTTATGATGAAGCCCTATACAAATCTTTTTATGTGCAAAATATGAAATCTTACAACTCCTCAAAATGCCCCATACCAATTTATATACAGGGTTTAAGTTCATAGCCAACTTTTGAATTTTTGATGATTTTAAATAACAGCTACAATACATATTATTAGTTATTCGTGTTTTTGTTGAAAATGACAGTTTTTTGAAAACTAATAAGAGTAAGAAGAGTTTTAGAATTAAAATCCCCATAAAATAAAGTAATAATTTTTAAGTAATAAGTCCACCAACAGCTTAAAAAATTCTGTCACATTTTAATGGTACATCATCCCTTATCGACCTTTTAAAATGTTTTAATTGAACTCTACTTACTGTCGATTAATGATCTTGGTACACTCGCACCCTGTTGCAAATTTGGTTTTTCTAAGTTCAGGTATAACTGATAAAGATTTCTTTCGAAATTTGAAACCTTCTTTCAAGGCCTATAACTTCTTAGGAATGCAGCTTAGTATAAAAGTTAGTTGTTTTAAATCACCATATTTTGGGTTTTCCTACATGCCCCTGCTCGGTCAAACAAATTAAAAATTTAACAGATTCCTGCATAACTTCATTTATTTCAATTATTTCATTTCATTTTCCTGTGCAATTAATTTGCACTTTTGCAAGAATAAATTGCACTATTTTTGCCAACTGGTGGAGTGTTGTATATCATAAAATTACATTTAGTCGGTTTATTAATTAAAAAAATAATTAACTTCATTAGCTTTTTACTTATTTAATGGCCTGTAGGTACACTTATAAATTGGAGCAAACGGTAGAAGCTTACAATTGAATAAAAATAATTTGTTTATTTCAAATCAAGGACAAAACTTCCCTTTGTATTATACTTAATTCATATTAAGCAATATACACATCAGATATAAATCACGTCCCAAATCTTAAAAATATCAAAAACTAAGCATGACAGTCACAAAAAAGAATGTCCTAATTGTTTTCCAAGGTTTAATTGAGCTCAAGTTGGATTCCTACAATAAATTTTGAAAAATCTCCGTACTTGTGTACATTTATAATACTACCATTTATTCAACTAATTCTATTACGTTTTTAAAATGACAATTTTATTCATTCATTATAAACATTTTTCTTGCATGATTTTCGTTTAGTTTAGTTTAGCTATTTTTTTACTTAATTTTCTTTTTTAGCTGGCTATATATCTTTAAGTTCGATTATCTTAGTAGACCTGCTTGGCCTGGAAAAACTGACAAATGCATTTGGTCTATTAATTCTTTTCCGAGGTGCAGCTGCTCTTGTCGGTTCTCCTTTAGCGGGGGGTTTATATGATGCAACCCAATCCTACGATATACCATTTTATGTTGCAGGAGCATTATTCACAGTAGCAGCAGGAATCAGTTTTGCTGTACCCTGCGTTCAGATATGCTCACCCAAAGGAAAAATAAAGCAAGTGGATGACGAAACTCTAAATCCAATAAACAACACTGAGAAACTTGAAAAGCAATAACAGAAATAAATTGTATAATGATAAAGTGTGTTATTTAAATTTTCTGGAATTACATTAAGGCACTTTTCTCTCAAAAAAAGGGAGGATTTAATAATTGGAGTAAAAGACACCATATTATAGTATGGATAAGTTAGAACAGTATGTCTTGCCAGAATGGCATAGCTTTTTATCTTTTCTAATCACTATGTTAAAAGGAAAATGGGTAGCTCAAGAACAACATTGATGTTAGATTGCAAGTTGTTAAAAGACATCTCACTGCTTGATTATTCTAAAAATATCAAGATAAATGTAATGGAATTATTTTAATTTGAGATGTTATCGATCTTTATAAACAAAATTATATTTACTAATTGGAAAACATTATTAACATTATCTGAATTCACTTTAATTATGTACAAATTCACAAAACTAATATTTTGTAATTAACAATTTACTATCTGTTAAATTTCTTTAATAAATCATTACTCGAATTATAACTGTTAATCACTGGCCACAAACCATCAGTCATAAAAACTGTGCTATTTTTTTAAATTATACTTTAACGTTAAAGACTAATTACTTTAATTAGAAACTTTTTAAAATATCCTATACCAAATTAACAGTATAATTTATTTTTGAAGAAAAAATCAAAACAAATTTTTATTTTTGTAAAGAATTATCCATGCCAACTAAAATTTTGAAACTGAACAAGCAACTTTAAAGAAAACTTAAATCTCTATTCGACAGTATAGTTTTTTAAATATCAACTGGTTTTGGCATATCGAGAGGAATTTTTTGGAACACTCTGTATACAGGGTGTCCCATAAGTACATCTATAATGCAAAACAAAATAGGCCCTTTTAGTATAATTCGTCTAAGTCTGAAATCGCTTTGTTTGGCTGCTAGATGGCCTCAAAGTTCCTGAAAATTTATTAAACTTTTCAATTAATTCTAATATATGTTAATTAATTTTTATTATTTTTTTATTATTTTGATTTCAATCGACATATTTTATGTTATACAGGGTGGTTTTGAAAACTTACAACTACTGTGAAATTGATGTATGGTAAAAATATCCGTCTATAACTTTTTTCCAATCATGCCATAATGACAAATGTGTTTCAGTTGGTAGCTGATACTATTTGGAAGTTCTTTCGTCTTTAATACAATTTTCACTAAATGATGGTAGGGTAGGCACTGATTTTCTATTTGTTTGTATGCAACCATCAAACCTTTGCATATCGAGAAATTGAACTGAACATGAGTTTCGTCAAAAAGGTATGATCATTCATACAATTAAAGAAGTATAATAATTATGAATTTAATGGTCAAAATAACCTAGATAACCTATGCTGACATTTTTATTTGTACCTAAACCGCTCATTTAATGAAGAGCATAACTTGCAAATGGTATCTCCTACCAACTGCAAAATATTTGTTATTATTACATGAATGAAAAAAAGGTATTGACAGATGTTTTTACCATATATCAGTTGTTTTCTAGTGGTTGTAAGTTGTAATTTAAAAAAATACCACACCTCAAAATTAATCAAAACTGATGAACAAATATTAGTTATTAAAAAAATTACAATATTTTCCAGAAAGTTTGGAGTTTATCTTGTGGTCAAATAAAGTGATTATGGATATAGGTAAATCAGCTTAAATTGGCTTGGTATTTTGAGCCTGCGGTCTTCCATACACATACTGATGGGACACTTTCTGTAAAGCTGAATCTGTAACTTGTATGGATTGTTCTACTATGCAAAATTTCCCACCAAGAATTATCACTTTACGAGTTTCCATATTTTTGACTACAGGAAGTTTCCGAAAAAATTTGTATGAATCTTCAAGGGCTTCAATATCTGAATATTGCATATGCCACTTGTAGATAATGTATGTAACACTTTTTTATTTAACACCCTATGTTTTGTATAGTTCCTAATATATAACTTTTTCTGATTTAATCCAATTTACAACTACTGATATAATTTAATATACAGGATGATTCACATTTTATGATTAGGACTTTGACCATCAGTAGGTCTCATCAAAATAATGACATTTTGAAGTATACACTTTTTCTTCCAAAGGCTTCCTTTTAGAGATATAAGCTCTTGAAAAAACTTTTCAAGTATAAAGTATAAAAGTGAATCACTTTTCACAAGAGGAACATAATTAGCTCCACACAATTATGAAGATGTTTCATCTTAAGTTGGATATTGTGTATACAGAACAATTTTTGAAATATGTTTTAAGTGTTATGTATTTTCATTCTAATAATAGTAAAATAGCTAAAATGCAGCTGCAGATTAGAAGGTCCATAGTAATATAGACTAAAAAGTATTATTTACGAAAATAAAAAAATACAGAAGGAAACATATTACATTTAATTAGTCAATTAGTTAAAAAAAAACATAACTTATATTTAGAAGGATATGCAACGTTAAATAACTTTTTTTAAGAACAATTTTTAAAGCACTCGAAGGACATACTATTTCATAGGACATAAAGTCAGAAATAATAGTTACTGAGGTAATAATTTATAACTTAATTTGATAAAAATTTGGTATTAATTTTAATTAGCCTAATACATTTAAAGTAACATAAAAATGATTACCTTCAGGTATAGGATGCTAATTTACAAAATCAGTAAGCAACATAAAAAAATTGATCAAAACATTATTAAGAACTTATTTGTGGATTACTGGAAGACTCAATTTTATAATCAAATAATATAAGAATGAAAGAAAAGATTATAACAAAATATTCTTTTACAATAATTCAAAGTAGCTATATTGGACCACAATATCACATAGATTAGAAGGATTAGATAAGGTATTAATTTATCGACAATAAACCATATTAAATAGATAAATTTGACATAATAAATTTGTAGAACACCTAATATAGTTTAGTAACACAACAGAAATAAATTAGTACAGATAAACACACCTTGAAACATGTGAGAAAATATTAACTTCTTAAGATAAGAAGTATTTTTATTTCAATTTTAACCTTATCAAAATTAAATTTGGAAAGTAGAAATGACTTGAATTATTTTGATGATACATCAGCCAAAAAGAAATAATTTTTACCCTAATTATTGAAAATTAGTTAAATTAACTTTAAAACAATCTTTCTGCTACCTACTGCATGTGATACTGTTTATAAATTTCAAGTTAGTAAATATTGGAAATTTGTTGAAAATTTTATTTTCTCTGTGTAGTTATTCAAATTCATTTTTTTTTCAATCTTATCAAATAAAGTCTAACAATGTTCTTCGATACCAGAAATTTGGGTATGCAAAAGACATCCTACCTCACAGACAAGATTGCTAACTTCTGACATTGATTAACAACTATTCTATGGGCTGCATGCGCCAACTAGCATTGAATTATACGACAATACCTGGTAAATGACTAGTAATAAATAATTATCCAAATTAAAAATTGACAAATGATACATTTAAATATAATTAAAACAAAACAAAAAAGACATGGTAAATTGAAATTGTTAAATAATAGAATTATTCAAAGAAATATCCTGTATTCATGCCATCCTATTATCACCTTTAACTATAAAGACTAATTACGGAAAAAACAGTTAACAGAAAAAACTTTAAAAAAGAAATTACATTTATTTGTATTATACCTCTAAAGTAAAGTAAAAAAATGTGTTTTTTAATTAAGAAATTCCTACATAGAATATTACATTCTTTTTTCACAACTACAGATACAAATTTGAAAAATATTTTTTTATATAATAAATATATTTAGATAAATTAAAATTAATACTGTAATAGATGCATAAAAAATGTGATAGACACTTGATAGAGGAATTTTGAAGTGGAAGTGTCACTCACTTTACATGACATGAAAAGAGTGACCGCAAAAATCGCCCGTTTTTTCACAATTCGCAAAGAACTAAAGAAAATAGAAAAAAAATATGTTTTTGGTCTCAAATTACTCGTAAAAAATTAAGATGAGCATAGCTTTTAGTTTTTTGAAAATTTTCAAAAATCACCCCTATTTAGGGGTTGAAAAGACGCCCAAAATAAAGAATTGAATATTACCAATAAATATAAAAACTATTAACATGTGAATTTTTCTGTCGAATGATTCTTGATACAAAGAAAGATTTATTCTCATGACTAAAATAAGCATGTTGAATTAGAAAATTCACCCTTAAGCGCACTCAAGGGGTGGAATCATCCCCAAAAATAGAGAATATCAGAAATAATTGTAAAAATTCCAAAAAAAATATATTAAGATAATTTACATGCTAATAGTTTTTATATTAATTGGTAATATTCAAATTCTTCATTTTTGGCATTTTTTCAACCCCTAAGTATGGGTTAATTTTTAAAATTTTCAAAATACTGAAAGCTATGCTCATTTCAGTTTTTTACGACAAGTAATTTGCGACCAAAAACCTAATTTTCTGTATTTTTTTAATTCTCTGCGAATTATGAAAAAACGAGGGAAAATCACAGGTTTTTGGCGGTCACTCTTTAAACTTCCAAGGCTTATGAAAATTAAGATTACTGATAGGTCAGAGTACATGAGTTACGACTTCATAATTCAAAATAGAAGAATAATTACAGTTAAAGCTTTATTCGATAGACATGGAAAGAATTTATTAGGTTTACTACATTGATGTGGGGTAACTGAGAATTAGTTACTAAGCTATACAGGGTATTAAAGGCTATACCCTATTTTTTGTTTTGCGCGTAGGGATTAATAATAAGTGAAAACATAATAATCAATTAAATGATCTCGTGTTTCATTCATTTTTAATAACAAATTTATCTGGCTCATAAATTCTTTTAGACTTTTACAAATAAATTGAAAACTATTTATTGTCAGAGTTTTGTTCGTCGATCTTATTTCTCTAAAGAGATTAATGTCAAGTAGCCTGATAATGATGATAAACATTTCAATAACTGACTTTCAGATAAAAATTTGTATTAGGTAACTATATTTTAAGTGTATTTAATAACATACTGCTAAAATGGTAAGTAGTATACAAATATAATTAAAACAGGTTCAATATCCAAGTCTGAAATAAAAATATATTCTATATTATAGATACACTACTTTAAATAGAAGGTATTAAAGTTTGAATACAAAAAACCATGTAATGAAGGTGCATATTAGAAATTAATTTTGGCAAGATAAATTTGGACAAAACATGTTTTAAATGTAAATACTATGTAATATTTTTACTTCTAGAGTAAAACAAAAATACCATTACAAAATATGACGTCCCACGAAGACATAGAGGATGAACAAGAAAAAAATGTTATAAACATACCTGCTCCACCAGATGGTGGTTATGGCTGGGTAATCGTTGTAGCTTCTTTCGTCTGTAATATGGTAGTGGATGGTATTTGTTACACATTCGGTATATTTTTGTTTGAAATAATCCAGTACTATAACGCAAGCAAAGGCAAAACGGCATGGGTTGGTTCTATCCTTACAGGAACATATCTTATTATCGGACCTCTTGTAAGTGCGCTGTGTAATAAGTTCGGATGTCGCGCGGTTTGTGTTGCAGGTAGTATTATATCCACCGTTGCATTTGCACTATCAATTTTCAGTCCCACAGTCAACTGGCTTATGTTTACTTATGGTTTTCTGGGCGGCTTCGGATTTGGTCTAATTTACTTACCAGCCGTCGTATGCGTTGGTTACTATTTCGAGTCTAAAAGGTCCTTAGCTACTGGTATAGCTGTTTGTGGCTCTGGCGCAGGCACATTTGCATTTGCACCTTTAGCAACTGTCTTACTTGATAGGTATGGATGGAAAGGTGCTAATTTGATACTTGCCGGGATTATATTTAATTGCGCAATATTTGGGGCGCTAATGAGACCTTTGGAGTATACGAAGAAGGATAGTGAAAGTCATACAAAATTGTTAACTACAAGTATCTCCAGTGGAACGGCAACAAGTTTTAAAGATGTTAGAAAAAGAAATGATTTTACTCATCATGAAAAAGAGGTAAACATATTAAGTATAATTCTAAGTAATATATTCAAATAAAAAATGTATTTTATTATATACAAAGATTTCTTTTATAGTATGCTTACTGTTAGAAAGGGCAAGAGAAAACATTTTTCAATTCACAGAAAAAAGTAGTTGTCAGTAAAAAAAATTGTTTGCAGTTTTTTAAAATAAGCTTCTATGAAGTATTTTAAGTAAGTTCTTCATGAATTAATTCACGAATTTATTGGTAAACAGTGTGGTTTTACACTGCTACAGACTTTGTCAAATTTTTTGACGTATGAATCAGTTCTACCAATGAATCAAAGAAGCAAATAAATTTCAAAAATGTCACCTTTACACTCATAATTGTAGTGATACAACAGCGGTACCGTTCTGACACATATTATATAAATATTAGTTTTTGTAAGTAACAAATCAGTAAAAACAATGCAAAACTAGTACGACGCCACACAACTATTTACATATTCCATTAACATAACCTCATTACTGATCTGAGGTTGGAAATCTGTTGGGTTGGTACTTCTGAACTTCACGAAGAAATTGACAAAAATTAGAACATGCTCTAATTTGTCAAGAACTTGATGAATAAATTCATGGTTATTTGACAGCAGATTTGGTGCATTACAAATGTCCAATTTCTTGATGAAGCAACTTCATGAATTAATTGATCAATAAATTGTCAATGTAAAACAGCTATTACTGAAGTTTCTAAAAAGTTGCCAACAAATTAAAGTCTATAAGGATCAAAACCGATTGGCAAATGATAAACCTGTAAATGCTAATACCAGTGCCAATAAAAATTATGTTTGCTTCTTTTCTATAGCAGAACATAACATTTTCATTCCTTGATATTTTAATTTTAGACTGATGGCGAAAGTTTGCAATTTGCTTCAAAGTCTTCCCTTGCAAGTAAAAAAAGTACGAGTCGTACTAATCGTACCATACAACCTATGGCCAGAAAAGATGTATTTTATTCAGGATCAATTGAACATCTAGCAGAATATCAATCCCAGAAATCTTTAGCAAGTTATAGACAGAGTGTTTTAAGCATACCAAGAGCAGAACATGACAATATATGTAAGTAAAATTGAACACTGTTATTTATATTTTAATATTTCTATATTTTCTTTTAAGAAATAAGGGTAATAATATGACGTAGGAAAAAAAATTATAAATAAATAAAGAATATTGTTTTTGTGCAATAGAATTAATAAATTAACGTTTTTAAAAGCATAATTTGTCAATTTTAATGTAAAAAACGGAAAAGAGGTATAAAATTAGTTTGTTTAAAAAATTAGGGCTTAGATTTAAAGTATAATTTAATCATTTTGATTGGATAATAGGGAAGTACATAATTTGCGAATAATTAGCATAATTTTATACAAATTAAATAAATGCAAATAATGCTTTTAAAGAAATTTGTTTTTCATTTCAGCTGGAAATAAATGTTTACCAAACATGGATCAAATATGTGATTTGAGTTTGTTAAAAAATGTAGTATTTCTGCTCATAGGAATTTCAAATTTCTTTGCAATGGCTGGTTTATATGTACCTTTTACTTATTTGGTTGACTGTGCTAAATCTAAAGTAAGTATGTAAATAATAAATCACCGAACAGTTTTATAGCAAATGTAAAAATGAATTTTAACATCAAATCGTATCAATGTATATTTTTATACATATGGAAATGAATTCTAATCACTATACAGGGTAGCCCATCGAAAACATACCGCAAGGCATTACAGGGTAGTAAAGACTTTTTCGGTAAAATCCAAAAACAGGTCAAATTTGTCTCTGAGGGGGACAACTTTTGGCTCAAAAAGCATACCAAAATCTTCAACCCCCTAAGTGGGGGTGCTATCCCCTAAATTTTTTCAAATGGGAATGTGGGTCAAGTGGGGGTCATTAGAAAGGGCTTTTAATTCTCTATACATCAATTCTTACTTTTTGAAAATCGATTCATTATTATAGAAAATATGCAGCTTTGAAAATACGAACAATATTTTTGACGAGAAATGCGAAAATCGATTTAATTTTACTTCAAAACTTACGGTATTAGTCAAGTAAATGCTGAAAATGTTGTCCGCCAACTTGCATACAATGATACAGGTTGTCTTCAAACCGTTGTCGAACATTCTGGAGCACTTGCGGTGTTACTTCGCGACATACATTAATGATTCGTCCTCGCAGATCTTCCAAGGTATCAGGTGGAGTGCTGTAAACTTTGCTTTTAATGTGCCCCCAGAGAAAGAAATCTAAAGGATTTAAGTCGGGTGACCGAGGGGGCCACTCAATTGCACCTCTTCGTCCTATCCAGCGTCCTGGAAACGTCTCATTTAGGTAATTGCGCACATTGAGCGAGTAATGTGGAGGAGCTCCGTCTTGCTGGAAAATCAGTTCGTGTTCATTGTAAGCAGGGTCGTCCTCTATGATATTTGTTAGAGCTGGGTCGATGACATTTTGTAGTAAATCCAAGTACATATCGCCTGTCAAATTTCCAGGAAGGAAAAAAGGACCTACAATGGAATTTCCAAAAATACCTGCCCATACATTCAACTTCTGGGGGTGTTGGGAGTGTGTCTCATGGAAAATCCTTGGATTGGTATCAGCCCAGTAACGACAATTATGGCGATTCACTAAACCATTCAAGAAGAACGTACACTCGTCCGAAAAACACACATTAAAGAGGAAATTATCGTTTATCGCTCGTTCAGTCATTATTTCGCAAAATTGCAAACGACGATCAAAATCGTCTTCATTTAGCTCTTGCACTAGCCGAATCTTATAAGGATGGAATTTGTATTTTTTTAATATTCGTTGGACACTTGTACGACTCACTCCTGTCGCAGTAGCCAATTGCATTGTACTCAGCGTACTATCCATTGCCACTTGCCCCAATACCGCTATTTCCGTAGGTTCATTTAGTACCGGATTTTCAACCTGCCTCTTTTTGTTATGAACGGAGCCAGTTTCGCGAAATTTGGCCACCAATTCGCGAACAATTTTTCCAGACGCATGTTTCTCAGGATGCCGTTGGTTGAACAGTTCGGCGACCCGATTTCCGCATTCATTGTTTTTGAAAAAAAGCTCAATAATTTCTACTCTTTCTGGAATTGAGTACACCATAATTAATCAATTTAAAAGACTCGGCAGTATTGGTACTCTTCAACTACAAGTCACAAGACAGTTATCTAGCAACTTCTTGTGGCCTATCTAAATACGAAACAAAAAGCGGACAATTTTTTGCTCACCAAAATCAGGCTAAAGAATTCGCAAATCAAAAAAAAAACAGCGAATTCTTTTGAAGGAATTTACCAAGCTAATACCGTAAGTTTTGAAGTAAAATTAAATCGATTTTCGCATTTCTCGTCAAAAATATTGTTCGTATTTTCAAAGCTGCATATTTTCTAAAATAATGGATCGATTTTCAAAAAGTAAGAATCGATGTATAGAGAATTAAAAGCCCTTTCTAATGACCCCCCACTTGACCCCCATTCCCATTTAAAAAAATTTGGGGGATGGCACCCCCACTTAGGGGGTTGAAGATTTTGCTATGCTTTTTGCGCCAAAAGTTGTCCCCCTCAGAAGCAAACTTTACCTGTTTCTGGATTTTGCCGAAAAGTTCATTACTACCCTGTAATGCCTTGCGGTACGTTTTCGATGGGCTACCCTGTATATTAAAATAGTACTATAATTCTTGACCATTTTGCTATTTTTATAATTTCTAATAAATACTCATCAGTGATACTTTTATTAATAATCAAAAAATCAATGTGACAATAGAAAAAAATGACTGATAAATCATGTAATTTCTATGATAAATGGTAACCTTTTAACACACCATTTGTAAAGAAGTACTTATTACAGTTAATTTAAAAATGATTTTGATATTTTAGTAATATTAGCTTTACTTAGGGCATCGATGGAAACAGTGCATCTTTCCTAATTTCCATAATGGGCATTACAAACACAATTGCTCGTATTATTTGTGGATATATCACTGATTTACCTCAAGTCGACGCTTTATTTGTGAACAATATATGTCTAGTTATTGGAACATTATCAATAGCAGCAATTCCATTTTGCAATGCTTACTCTGCTTATGTAGGCGTAGCAATTTTCTTTGCTATTGCAGTGGGTAAGTACATTAATTAAATAAATATAAAAAGATATGATGCTAAAAAATAATTCTTTAAATAAATGTAGAAATATTTTTCCCACTTTATCGCGAAATAGAACAAAAGTGAATAGTGACAAATGTGTCATATTTAACTATTTCCTAATTTTGCAATATTGGGTATGACTGGCAAAAAGATCGGGCTAATTTTTTTACAACAAAAATTCATTGATCCATTAACATGGTATCTTCCTCATGTACTTACTGCTCGGAAAGGTTGTAGATTCTTTATCAGTTTTATCAAAAGTTAAATCAGCACTAAAGAGAACCAGATTTGAAATGGTAGAAACAGTGAAAATAAAAGCACTGCTTTCAGCAATGAAAAAGTCTTATAGGGTGGTATAAAGATCGAGGAGATGTAATAGAAGGTGTTAAGTGCTTTTGAAAAAATTTTTAAATAAAAAATTTTATTTAGCGCCAGTTCGTTTTTTTTTCTAGACATAGCATATAGTACTAGACAAGACATTTTGTTTAACCTAATAATATTCCTACCTGTTACAGCTGGATTCATATCCCTGAGTTCAATAATCCTGGTGGATTTAGTGGGGCTTGACAAACTTACAAACGCATTTGGATTATTGACTTTCTACAGAGGTGCTGCTGCCCTTATTGGTACTCCACTCGCAGGAACATTGTATGATATGACTCAAAGTTATGAGCTGCCCTTCTTTGTAGCAGCATCTTTATTTGGACTTGCTGCTATAACAAGTTTTACGGCTCCACTTCTAAAAAGGACTTCCCATAAAAAAATTGAAACCAATGACGTTTTGACACCTATCAATGAGGAAAATGAGGTGTAATTTCAATTTTGTAAGAGAATTTGTCAACTGTGTTTTATGTATCTGTGATAAGGAACAATTACTATTAATAAAGTAGAGCTCGAAGTAAAATTAAATATCCGTTGTAAACATTATAATTATGTACTTGGCATCTAGTGTCAAAATATAAATAATTATTATACAGGGTCAAATTGAGCATTGGATCTGATAATATGCGATATTTTTGGAAATTGGATTTTTCTATGAACATTTTTTCAAAAATACTTTAAATACAAGGTGAAAATTAAATAAATACTTTATATATTTTCCCGACATATTCAAATTAAATTTGGTTCACATCATACCTGCATGACTATATTTTATATATTTTTAAATATCTGCTACCCCCAGAGAAAATTCAATTTTTTTATTTTGTATTAATGTACCCACAATTAATTTCTTGTTTAAATCACTTTTAATAAATTTTGTTAGTCATAGAAAAACAATGATGTAAATCGCTGTTTGTTGGAAAAATAAAACTGAAAATAAAAAAATTACATTACATGAAATACATTTAAATGATGAAAAAAATCTTAATAACAATAGAAAAAATAAATAAATATAAATGTAGCATGTATGTGTTCACAATGTTCTATTCAACTCAACTTTTAAATTATTCACAACGAAATTTTAATTGTCTTATTAGATTTGATCACTACCTCCTCAAAAATAAAAAAATATAAAACAGTAATTTGAAGCTTTTCTAAAGATTATTTTTCTTAAAACGAGCATAGGTTACGTTTCATGAGAAGTGAACTTTTTTTAAGAACAGTGGCTTTCAGAACTAATTACATTCGTTTGCAATATACAATAAAAATTATACCTTATATGAAAGAAAATAAAAACTGCTTTACCTGCATTTAATCTTTCAAATTCTTAAAAAATAAAAACCATAATATTTAAGAAAAGAACAATTTTTGTTTTCGTAGTACAGTAAACATTAAAATTAAGATTTTTGTTTTTTGAATAAATTTAAGTTGAGGTTATATGCATTTTTAGACCATGACCATAGAGTTAAACTGTAGATGCTGGAGCATATACCATTAACTTCTATATACAGGGTGGTCCGAATTTTAAGCAGGAAACTTCGAGGTCATATAGATCTCTTTAAAATAATATGTGTTTGCTATATAAACATAGGTCTGTAACGGCACCGTTTTAGAGATACAGGGTGTTGAAGTT